TTCTTTAGATCCCCCACTCGAGTTAAGCATTAGAAGATTCTGGGAGTTAGAAACTATAGCACCTAAAGTCTATTTATCTCCTGACGGTCAAAAATGCGAAAACATCTACAAAAATACTACCATTCGTGATAATTCCGGTCGCTTTGTTGTGGACCTACCTTTTCGTCATGCAGAACCCGATTTAGGTGATACATATGCATTAGCGTATCGCTGTTTTATGTCCCTGGAATCAAAGCTTCTTAGAAAACCTGATTTATATGCTCTTTATTCAGATTTTATGAAAGAATATATAAAAAATGGTCACAAGTCTCTGATTTCAAATGATGAACCAAAGCCAACACTTCTAAATTATCTTCCTCATCTTGGTGTCGTAACCCCTAACAAAGCTACTACAAACTCCGTGTAGTTTTTAATGCGTCTGCTAAAGGATCAAGAGGATTAAGTCTAAATGATTCATTTTTAACTGGTCCAAAATTACAGAGCGACATAGCAGAAATTTTGCTAAAATTTAGATTTTGTCCAATTGTCTTTTTAGCAGATAAAAAGCAAATGTATTTACAAATTCTTGTCAACCCCAGTCATCGAAGATTTCAAAGATTACTTTGGCGTTTTAACTCTAATGAACCGCTAAAGGAATATCAGCTAAATTGTGTTACATTTGGTGTAAGTTCCAGTCCCTATTTGGCCATTAGAACCCTAAGGGAATTAGCAGCCCTCGAACAGAAAAATTATCCCAAAGCATCTCAAGTTCTTCTGGATAATATTTTTATGGATGATATTTGTGCAGGAAGTTCAACGTTAGAAGAAGCTTTAGCTTTACAAACGGATCTTATTGCTTTGTTAAAGACCGCTGGGTTTGAACTTAGAAAATGGGCAAGTAATAACTCCAAACTTCTTTCGAATTTGTCTCCTTCAGATTGTCAAATGCCTATATCTTTCGATAAAGAAGAACCTACTTCTATTAAAGTTTTAGGGCTTCAATGGAACCCAACTTTAGATATCTTCTCATACTTATACAGCCCCTCAAAAAAACCCTGCACAAATCGTAACATTCTCTCGGAAATTGCTCGAATTTATGACCCTTTAGGTTTTTTGTCTCCTGTATCTTTTCTTGCAAAACATATTATGCAGAGACTTTGGATAGCTGGAATTGACTGGGACGACTCCCCCTCTCAAGCTATTATTGATCTTTGGTGTCAGTTCAAAAATGAGCTTCCCAATCTTTCTAAAATTTCACTTCCTCGTTACATTTTTGATAATAAAATTCAAAGATGTCAAATTTTCGGTTTCTGTGACGCCTCCGAGATTGGCTACGCATGCGCAGTATACCTACGTCTAGAGCTACCCAATGACGTCGTTAAATGTTCTTTAGTGATGGGAAAATCGAAAGTCTCTCCTCTTCGCACTATCTCCTTACCTCGGCTAGAACTTCTTGGAGCTACACTTCTAGCAGACTCACTTCAGTTTGTTCTTTGTACCTATTCTTCTTTAGTTACCATAGATAAAATATTTGCGTTTTCCGATTCGCAAGTGGTACTTGCTTGGCTCTCGAGCTCTCCTCATAAATGGAAGAACTTTATTGCTAATCGTGTTGCGAATGTGCAAGAAACGCTACCAAACGTACCATGGTTTTATGTGCCATCATTAGAAAACCCAGCAGACTGCGATAGTCGAGGATTGACCCCCGCAAATCTTTTAACCCATCCAATGTGGTTCCATGGACCCCCATGGATAAAATTGCCCCAAACAGAGTGGAAATTTGAAAATTTTTCTTCCCAAGGAGCAAATCTTCCGGAGTTATCCCAAGAGGAAAAAACTTTGTCACTTTCGGTGAATATCGAAAAGAATTTTCTTGACAATTTAGTCGAAAATATTTCTTCTCTATTAAAAATTTAAAGAGTCCTTAGTTATTGTCTTAGATTTATTCATAACATTAAAAATAAAGACAAAAAACTCTTTACTTCCTTTTCTTCTTTGGAGCAGCATAAATCTTTGTTAGTCTTGGTTAAAAGAGTTCAAGAACAGAATTTTTCGGAGCTAATTTTACAAATTAAAAATAACGAACTCTTACCAAAACCTTTGCGCAAACTCGCTCCATTTCTGGACGATGAGGGTTTCGTCAGAGTGGGTGGACGCCTCAGACATTCAGAACTTTCCTTTGAAGCAAAACATCCTCTTCTTTTACCCCGAAACCATAGACTTACAGATTTGTTGATTGAACAAATTCATAAACAAAACTTACATCCTGGGTTAAATACTGTTCAGTATTTATTACGGCAGCAGTTTTGGGTCTTATCTTCTCGAAGAGCTATTCAGAAAGTTTTGTCAAAATGCATTCGTTGTTTTCGTTTAAAACCAAAAACTTACACACCATACATGGGTGACCTACCCTCCTTTCGTACTTCTCGATTAAAATGTTTTTCTCATGTAACTTTGGATTATGCAGGACCCCTAAAAATCACGAATGTAAGATACCGAGGAGCCAAAGTCTTCAAAGCTTATGTTTGTATTTTTGTATGTTGTGCCACGAAGGCATTACATATTGAACTGGTGTCTGATCTAACAACAGACGCTTTCGTCGCAGCCTTGAGGCGTTTTGTAGCCCGACGTGGGGTTTGTACCCACATCTGGAGTGATGTCGGCTCTAATTTTGTTGGAGCCAGTCGACCGCTCCAAGAGTTATCAAAATTGGCTTCAGAAAGTCTTCATATCATTTGGCATTTCAATCCTCCTGCCGCTCCGCATTTTAACGGTCTTAGTGAAGCAGGTGTAAAATCTGTGAAAACTCATTTATACAGGGTGATTGGAGATCAAATCCTAACCTTTGAGGAGCTATCTACTTTGTTATCCCAAATAGAAGCTTTGCTAAACTCTCGACCCCTCTGTGAACAAAGTTCCGACCCCAATGATTTATCGCCATTAACTCCAGGTCATTTCCTCACCATGGAACCTTTGAATTATTGTCCATATCCAGAGCTGTCCCACCTAAAATTAAACACTTTATCCAGATGGCAGTTAGTACAACGCCTTCATTCAGATTTTTGGAAACGTTGGAACTCGGAATATCTAAACACTTTGCAGCAGCGCTCTAAATGGAAGCAACCGACTGCAGATATAAAGCTAAATACATTAGTCTTAATAAAAGACGAAACAAGACCACCATTGCACTGGTCACTTTGCAGAATAGTTGCTTTACACCCTGGTCAGGACAAACATGTAAGAGTGGTTACAGTCAAGACACAGAACGGACTTTTCAAACGTCCGGTAGTAAAGTTGTGTCCCTTGCCGGTGGTTTAACTGTTTAATCAATTCTTTTTTTTTTGTATGAGTTGCGTTATTTGGGATATTTGGGAATAGTTTTTTTTTAATTTTTTTTTAATTAAATTTTATTTAAACAATTTAAAAACATTCGTTTTTGTGGGCGGAAAAATGTACAAACAACTTTAATTTATAATTTTAATTTTACTTTAAAAAGTATTAGTTTAAATAACATACACAAGTCCAATAAAAAAGGGCACCCAAAGAAGACGGAAGTTCTTCTGTCTCACTCGCTTCGACACCGTCCGCGAACGCAGTAGCACGCGGGTACAATAACTCTCTTTGGAAATTAGCAATTTTGGTGTGTGAAAATCGTTCTAAAACTAGAAATATGAAAAGCTAAACATATGTATGTGGAAGTGCAACCTGAAGAACCTGGAAACGAAAGGGCCCTTTACTTCGTAGAATACTAAAACGAAGGTAGGTGCTTTTTTTATACGCAATTGGTCTTGTATGGTTTAAATATTATATTTTTAATCAAAGTAAAATCATATATGCGATTACAGTCCCGCATTGCTCTCATCTAGCTTATTCTCTAAAACATTCGTACAATGTTTTTTCCTTTATTATCAAAATGTCTATTATCCACTTGACCCTTCAATTGTTTTGATAGCAGTAGATTTTTACATAAACAATATTAAATATTTAAATTTAATTTTAAACATCTTTTCTTTATAATAAGTTTTGATATTGTTAAAAATAAAGGTACTTTACTCTTGAGGAAAAAGCATATTTATTGTAGGACCATGCACAACTTTTTAAAACGAAGAATGACTTTTTTCCCTAAAATGAATAATACAATAGTTTTCCATATGCCGCCAACTTACGTAGATACTAGCCGTATACCCGCATCTTCGCTTACATGGTCCCAAGGTTTTTTCGGCACTTGTCAATTTTACGGCCTTCATTTTAGCACCTTGGTAGTTAAATAAAAAAGTTTGTGCGATTCGCTCGAGGAATCTTTATTATCTCCCACTAGTCGCACAATATACTATTAACATTTATAAAATATATTGAAAAATCTGCGATGAGTTGTCGCGCAATAAATTGTCATAGCGATGAATTTTCGAGCGATAAATTGTCGTGCGATGAATTTCCGCGCGATGAATTGACGGAACACCGGCGAAAATACCTACACCGTAAAAGAAAATTAAAGATTTCAGTTTTTTTAATTTGTTTATCAAAAAAATCTTTTATATATTTTCCGAATCTTATACCTATCTAGATAAATTAAAGATAAATTCAATTAATTTTGAAGGAGATATATTTTAAATAATCCAATATAGAAACCTAATTCTTTACATCAAAAAATGTGTACAACTAGACCATAGTACATCTTAAAATTGTTACTTATATGTATTCCGAGATCTCATGTAAAATGATTTAATTGCATATTATATTGGCATCATTTACATACATTTCAGTAATAAATTAAAATACTCATCTATACAAAAGTGACAATTTAACTCATTTATATTAATAACAAATGATTTTAGATTAAGTGCCGTTTTTGGAAGCGTTTTTGCATTAGATCAACCAATTCATGGTTTAATTTTAGAAGAAAATTCATTTAAAAGTATACTTATTGGTAAACAAAAAATAAAAGCAAAGAATTTTGTTTTGGGACTTAATTTGACACCGGATTTTTTTCTAAATAAAGTAAAGAAAAAATTCATTTCAAGGGGTGTGTTTATAACAAATAAAAGTATAATGGACTCTGACAATGAACCTTTAACGTTGCTGTTGTATCCTGCAGAAAATGATAAAAATCCATGTACTGTTTTGGAATTACCCTGGTTATCTAGCTGTTGTCCAAAAGATACATGTAAGTACTCTTTATGACGTATGTTCCATAAATTATTTAAAATAATTAGATTATGTTTAAAAAAATTTAATATACTGAAAATTGTTTTAGATTTGGTACATATATCCTGCAATCAAATCAACAATCCTGAAGATGATTTGAAACATTGTGTAAAAAATTTATTTACTTTAAATGAGGATTTTAAAGCATTCAAACCTCTAATTTTCTACTCCTCATATTTTTCTATACCAACAAACTCTGATGAAAATGTAAACTTACATGATTTTAACAATTTATTTATATGCCCTGGTCCAGATAGCGAATTAGACTTTGTGACAGCTGTCTCAAAGGTAATTTAAATTTTTTAAATTAGTTTTTGTCTCAACATTTGATATGAAGTGAGGAAATGCGGTTTCTGACCGAAAAATCTTTTTTTTTTTATTTTCAATTGGCTATTGGTGCTGGTCCGGAGACCACATCTACCTCGCACAGCGCTTGATACGCCTTTTTTACGTATGAAAAGTAAATTTTAGTTTGAAACATATATATATATATATATATATATATATATATATATATATATATTGATTAAGAAATATTTTAAATGTTTATTAAAAACTAAATGGGGTAAACATTTTTAGGCCAAAGAACTTTTCCTCAAAATGTATCCTGATGATGAGTTTTTACCAAGGGCGCCAGATCCAGAAGAAATAAAATGGGATGGTGATGAAGAACCATCGGATATAGCACAGTAACTTCAAATTATATAGATATAATATATAGCAAATAAATGACAATTTTAATGTATTTTCTTCCTTAATTTTAAGTAAAAAATCTTGTTAATAAATAAATAATAAAAAAGAGGAAGTAGGTTTTTGAGTTTTTAAGCATTTAAATCTCTGCAACGCTGTGTTCTCACTATTAATAAACTGAATATTAAAAATCTAAAAACGGTTGCCATGAAAACAAAATAAACAAGGCTTTTGATAACGAGCTGAGACTAACAAATTCCTTAAGTTCTGTGATATTATTCTTGTACAATCTGTTTACATTAAAATCTAAAACTGCTTTATGGACAACCTTACTTTCGGTTATCACTACTTTTGTAATTTTGACATTTATAGCAAAAATGATCATTATTGTATCTTTGCTATTTACAGAATCAAATAGGGCAGCCAAATTATAATACTTGAAGTTTCGTGTCCACCACTGTATGTATATGTTTGAAAAACCTGGAGGTTTTGACCTATGGTTCATATGAGGAGGTCCATTCCAAAACTCGGCTTATCCACTTTTTAATAAAAATGAGTTAGTAGTGTCTGTACATTTAACATGTATCCCCCTATAGCCTGAAAAGTTCTTAAAATTCTAAAACTCACCTTATTCCATTTAAAATTCATTTACAAATTGTCTATCGTTTTAAAACTTGCCTTATCTATTGGTTATATCATGAACTCGGCATATTTTAAATTGGAGCTATACCTTTTTAATGAAGGTATATAAATGTTTTACTTATGCCTATATATTTTGTTTAAAATATTGTGAAAACAACTAATATGAGTAGAGATTAAAAGAGAGAACCAGCACACTTTTCCAGCACACTTTTCCAACACACATTTCCAGCACACTTTATTTATTTAATTTTTTTTTTAATTTTGGTACTTTTCGATAATTGGTAGTATGTAGTCCGATTGGAGCCTAAAAGAATTAATTGTATGTTATTAATTTTATCAAAATATTTAAAAAAAATTGATTAATATTTTGATATACCCTGTATTTTTATTTTTTTCAAATTTGCGTTCAAATACAAAGTAAGCAGGTACCACCTACAGACTTGATTTATTGCCTACGCTTTTCTTATACACATATAAATTCAACAAAAAATGTTTGATTAATATTTTGATTTACCTTGTATTTTTATTTTTTTCATATTTGCGTTCAAATACAAAGTAAGCAGGTACCACCTACATACTTGATTTATTGCCTACCCTTTTCTTATATAAACATAAATTCAACAAAAAATGTTTGATTAATATTTTGATATACCATGTATTTTTATTTTTTTCATATTTGCAAGTACCACCTGCAGACTTGATTTATTGCCTACGCTTTTCTTATACATATAAATTCAACAAGAGACTTGTTCGCCTACGCTTTTCTTATACACATTAATTTAACATTTTTTTAAGTGTTTATGGTACTGCCTGTTTTATTACCTACTACAATGTATATAAAGTATGTCTTCTTGTAAAAAAAATATTTGATATATGTTCATACAAAGTTTTATTTTACTATCTGCAGGTGTGTTTTGTGTCTAGACACATTATTTTAACATTTTTTTTAAGTGTTTATCGTACTGCTTGTTGTATAATATGTCTTCTGCTCTATAGACGCTTAATACTCTTCTTAAATATGTATGTTTAAATAAGGTGTAGTTATTTTTAATATGAGTATCGATAAGTTTGGACATCATACTTCTATTTATCATAAAAATAATGATAATGATGTTGTAAGGTACACTATGTATTTTCGTAACCCGATTCTTTAAGTATACTGAAATACTTGTTTTGGCATATTCGTGATCGTCTAGTTAATTTACTTACTTTATAAAATTTAGGACTCTACGTTGTGTTTTTACGTACATTGATAATAACGTTATTTTGAAATTGGTCAGGTTTAATGAAACACAAGTATTTAATTTTAAACCCCTGATTTAATTTAAACAAAGACAAAGGGGTGGCCCGTTGAGTCAAAGCACAGGGAAAAGGGACCATAAAAACCCTGGCGACTTACACAGTTCAAATAAAAATAAAATACAAAATAAAACATAGTTATATGGGTCATAATCACTAGAATACAGTATAAATAATAAGTGAATAAAATAACATAAAAAGCAGTCAAACATATTTCATATTATTTGGGAGTTTTTTATCAATATTCAAAACATTTTGTACTCAGGTAAAATAGTTATAATAGCGATCGTCATTTTATGACGAAGTGTTCGTTTGCCTTACCACGCATCTTCGAACTATTGAACGAGGATACGATTTTATATAAATAAACTACAGCAACGACATATTTCTGATAGAGAGAATTCAAATGCCTTTAAAGAGGAGGGGAAACATGGAAAAATATAATCTAATGCAGATATTTAACCGTAGCCAATAACCACACTATGGAACAATAGCATCTCTGTGAAGTGATATAACGAAACCTAATGTCCTTATCTCAATGTCCAGCACAAGACAACAGTATTGTACAAATATACAAACAATTCTGCACACAGAGTATATGTAGGTAATAACATAAAAACACTATTTTTCTTCTAAGGATAAATCCTTTTGAAATAATGCTAATATATTACCCATGTTCAAATATTCATGCATGAGCACTCTCCAAAAGAAAACACAAATATAAATATAGACACAAATAAAATAAACAATATGCAATAAAATAAAATGGTATAAAATATAAATAAAATACAATAAAATAATAAATAGGAGAGCGTCATAACAAGAAACATCTAAACATGGCCCGAACTCTAACCACCAGAAAGTGTCGCGCTGGATAATAATATAAAGAGATTTTTATCATATATAGTAACGTTAAAGTCATTATCAAATATTCCAAATAAAGCGCTAAGACAAGCAGTTTAAATCAAAGTCTCTATCCAGAATCTATCAAAAGCTAAACAATACTATTACCTTACCATGATATGACCTAACGGTAATATCAAATTTAATAATAGTAATAATAATAATAATAATAATAAACCTTACCCAAATAATACCAATATTATAATAGTAATATAATTGTTAAAAACTTTAGCCTGAGTACAAATGCAAAGAGTTAAAATAAATAAATACCTTAACACCGAGATGATACACTGAGTTTCATAAACAATAAAATACATTTCAGTTAAATAAAAGTTATACAAAATTATAAAAAAAAGGAAACAACAAAATCAAGGCCAGTGTAACCCAAAATAAAGACAATACAAAACATTAAAATTTAAGTCAAATGTAATTCAGTGTATATGCGAAAACATAAAGATTGGAACTCAGTGTATGCGCGATATCAAGATATTAAACCAAAATAATGAAATAGTGATACAATAAAAATTATTACCAAAAATCACTCGCTATTTAAACATATTAAAATGATTAGGACCCAATAAACTAGCAATGATAAACGTCATAGACAAAAATGCGAATTAAATAATATTGTTCAAAATTATAAGCAAAAAACGAGGAGTTGTTTATCATTACTAGCAAATTTACAATTTTTTAAAGTGTACATACCTAAGTAGTTATAGCAGAAAATCGGTAACAATCACAAAAACTATAACTATATTATACTTAATATATTTCACAAACGGTTTAACAGGAGTATCTCGAAGGGCGAGCAAAAACCCTCTGTCCCTATTCTATTTCCTAATCTCGCTTTTAAACATCTCGGCCACTTAAGCAAGAATGTGTAACATAAACAGGTCTCCCTAATATTTCTTCGTTTAGATACAAAGAAGTGAAATTTTTAAACTCAATATGATTTTAATACATAAAATAACTTAAAACTCTAATATTATTTTTAGTGGATTATTTAAATTTTCCTTGGTTAAAATAGCGCCAAATTTGAATTTAAAAGTTTATATACTACAGGACCCTTACAATGTGGTTAATAAAAAATATCTTGAAGACTATTTGAAATTTTTTTATAATTCTGTATACTACTCAATACAAAGTGTAATAGATAGTAATGAAATTGAATTCAACAAACTTAAAAAAAACATTCCAAATTTAAAAAATATTGGTAATAATAATAATAAAAACATTAAATTATCAGACGTTAATTTCAAATCAACAAAACAACAGGTTGTAAAATTAGAAAAAGATTTAAAAAGTAATTTAATTAAAATACAAACAGATTATAAAGACATAGTAAATAAAACAAACTTTAAAACCGATTTAAAACAATTTCAAGACAAGCAAAATAAAATATTAAACTAAGCGATAGGGAAAACATTAAAAAATATTATGTGTGTGGTTAGCCTTAGAAAACACCTACTTAAGGTAGGCTTATTAATTTACAACTTTATTAATAAAAAAGTACGCAAAATAAATACAGGAAAACACAATAGAATAAAGATAGACACTTACTTAATATAAACGTTAACTGGTCTATGGTAAACTACCCTACAAACAATGACGACATCGTCTTTTATATCGTCTTTCGTATCGTTATTTTTTTTTAAAACTATCTCACACTTAATTCACATCGCAGCATCTTTTTTGGTCGTAATTGTGCATTGCATTAATACATAATTATGATTTTTAATTATATTTAATCAAAACATAGCTAAAAAGAACTTTCCTAAGTTTACAACTCGTAGGACGACAGTCTTGTCGATAGAGAAACCTATATCGTTGACGAGATAAGTCCCGATATCGACAAAACAGTCGTCAAAACGACAAACATAACGATATCGTCTTTGACATCGTTTTTCGTACCGATATTTTTTTTTAACTATTTTACACTAAATTCAAGTCGCAGCATGTTCCTTGGTCCTAATTTTGCAGTGCATTTTGATTTTTATTTATATTTTTTTATTTAATAAAAACAAAGCTCTAAAATAGCTTCCCAAATTTGACGACTCGTCTAACGACCCTCTTGTCGATATACATATATCTTCGACGATGTAAGTTTCTATATCGACAAAAGGGTCATCATGACGACAAACAATGACGATATGGTCTTTGACATCGTACGATATCGTCTTGCGTATCGATATTTTGTTTTAACTATATATATATAGGTAGGTAGGTATATAGTTTTACCATTGATTTAATCAATTTGATTAAGGTAGGTACCCAAC